TGTATCGTATCGTGTGTCTAAGATACTTTAGCATCTTTAAAAATAGGTAGAAAAATAAATATCCTATAAGAACAAGACACCAAACAATGTATAATATTTAAAATTGCAAAAGTAATTTTAAAGATAAATGCATATACAATGTATTATTCTCAATACTTCATGCATATAATATAAAATAAAGAGTGGAGTTAAAACATGTATAAAATACTGTCTTAACTAACCATTTAGGTTTTAATATTTAATTTACACCTTTTAAGTTCTCAAGGTACTTGTCCATAGTAGACAACTTTGAACTTCAACCGGTGTCAGTAGGTCTAAATCAACAACACAATATGCTTAATACCAGATCAAATAAGTAGATATTTGTCAAAAAGGTAGAGAAAAATAAAAGATAAGTACCAAAAATATTCTTTGTAATAAGTTAATGAAAATTTGTAATAATATTAATTGTCATAAAAAAGTTCAATTATTATTATTATTTTTTAAATTGCTAAAAAAATTTAAGTATTTTTGTATCGTATCATGTATCATGTATCATGTATTATATATTACATTATGATATGTATCGATTTCTCTCTAAAACTATTTAATCGTAAGATATGTATTGTGAATACATATCTTACGATTAAATAGTTTTAGAGAGAAATCGATACATATCATAATGTAATATACAATACATGATACATGATACGATACAAAAATACTTAAATTTTTTTAGCAATTTAAAAAATAATAATAATAATTGAACTTTTTTATGACAATTAATATTATTACAAATTTTCATTAACTTATTACAAAGAATATTTTTGGTACTTATCTTTTATTTTTCTCTACCTTTTTGACAAATATCTACTTATTTGATCTGGTATTAAGCATATTGTGTTGTTGATTTAGACCTACTGACACCGGTTGAAGTTCAAAGTTGTCTACTATGGACAAGTACCTTGAGAACTTAAAAGGTGTAAATTAAATATTAAAACCTAAATGGTTAGTTAAGACAGTATTTTATACATGTTTTAACTCCACTCTTTATTTTATATTATATGCATGAAGTATTGAGAATAATACATTGTATATGCATTTATCTTTAAAATTACTTTTGCAATTTTAAATATTATACATTGTTTGGTGTCTTGTTCTTATAGGATATTTATTTTTCTACCTATTTTTAAAGATGCTAAAGTATCTTAGACACACGATACGATACATGATTTAGAGAAAAAACATGATACTCAATTTGTATTCCGATTTAACAACTCGGATTGCAAGTCAAACTGTTCAAAACTACAAATAATTATATATGACTTCTTGTTACTATAATTGTTCTAAACTAAGCTTCTTACCTTTGATTTCGCATTTCTAAATCTAAATAAATTACCTTCTCTGCTATGAACATGAGCAGGAACAGAGTCAGCAGCATTAACTTTTTTGTCATACAAAACCTGCAGCAAGGGTTAATTATGTCAGTGAAACATAATGAAACATGCGCATGTAAGCCATACACCAACACCACCCTCCTATTTACACCAAAAATTCAAAATTTATATGCTTTATTTAATAAAGCAAATATGCACACTGTTGGTTTAAGTCAAACCTTAACTAACAGGAGCTAGCTCACTGGTCAGAACCCTTACGATCTCACTAGGAGGTCAGGGGTTCAAATCGCAGCACCTGTGTACAGTGTATGGGGTCTTAATCCCCATGTATTTGTTCGGGGTTCCCTCCCCCAAACTTTGGGAGTTTCTTTATATTAATTATACGTTTTATTTGATCTTCACTGTGATTATGATTCATTGAGATTCACTATAATATAATACATCAATCAAAAAAGAAATTCCCAAATGATCAAAAGGCATTAAGAATCACATGTCTCTAATAATCATATCAAGAACTAAGAGGAGTAACATGATGCAAAATGACATAACAACATTGAAAAGTGTATACTTTCATTAGTTTTTGATATATCCTCTAATAAAATTATGCAAATTAAGAGAACCAAAATAGCATGAAAAAAAAGAAGGAAACTCAAGATGATAACCTCTAGGCCAACACAGACCGGCAATTCTGCTTGTGTTTCTTGCACATCTGCTGTAGGATCTTTTCCATTTGAGTACACAGAGTAACCAACACAAGCATATTTGAATTCTGCAAGGCTTCTACCTTCTCTAGAGGCGTCCACCTCAGATTCTCCAACAATGTGGCGTGGTACTAGTCATCACACTTGGAAATCAGTATCCATCTGTAGTTGCAGTGAAAAAATTCCAACCAGAAAACATATGTATGAAGTAAACTAATAAGAAATGCATTGTGCAATCCCTAGGGTGTACAACATTCCAAGATCCATACTGTAAAACACATCCTTCAAATAGTTAGTGCAGAAAGAATAGAACTTTGTGAATTTCTACTGGAAAAGGTGACATCATTTCAGTCTAAAAGGTACATTCATACAGGTGTAGAGGCAAAAACTTTTTCCCTCCACAAGTTAAGCAAATCCAAAGCCTCTTAAGTAACTGGCAGTCAATGAAGTACACTGGTAAGGGCTCAAGCACTAAGAACCACCAAACAAAAACAATCACAACATAATAGAAAGTCCACAAATAATAGTGTTCCCAACATAACTCACTCATAAGACATTCAGGATTTTTTTTTTTTTTCCCTCTTTTTGAACTACTTTCAGGATTAGTTAACAACCTAAAAAATTGTCAAGTAGCAGTGCATTACATTTCATGGACTATCTGTTTTTTCAGCTACCTAGCACTTTCACACTTATAAAGCTACGGATAACCATGCTCTCTGACGTGTACACTAAGTGTTTATATAAATAGTTGAGATCAATTTCGCAACTGCCTTAAATGGACATTTTGCATATTTACAGTTTTGACATCACCTCACTATATAAACACTCCTTAAATATGTTAGCGAGCATGGTTCATAGCTCTAAAAGTGAGTGTAGAGGTTAAAAAAGGAAAAGAACACGCACCAATTCAAAATTCCTTTTAGATAAGTAAATTTTAAATTTAATTTTCCATTCATGAAACCTTCACGACTAATTCAAATTTCTTCGGCATATTGTTTAAATCTAATTGTATATTCTTGTTATTTACTGAGTGATTATTCTTAGTTGAATTATATGACCGATTCCAAAATTGCTAATTTTCTTTCATTCCTAAAGTTCATAGGGCCACTGGCCACATCAACAATTCAGAGGACCATGCTAGTTGCTTCTGTAAGAACCATATTAGTTCCATTCTATAATGATTTTTTATTTTCAAATCAAATCTATTTTATACAGTTCAAATTCAATTCAAGACATATTTTTGTTGATTTAAAAAATAATTAACCCTTGTTTCAAATGTAAAAATTATTTTAGAAAACATTATGATTTCAAATCATTCAATACTAATGGTTGTTCTGAAAATGATATCTATTATTTACTCAACTTTTTATTCATTTAATAAATTAATTTTCGATTAATAAGGTACCTTGCTAAAGATACCACAACTATTGTGCCTTGAAACCAGAGTTGATCATATCTCTAATCCAAACTAAAATTTGTTTCCACAAATAGGAGTTTTAGTTTCATATTAGCTACAAAACTCACAAAATACCTACTATAAAAAGGGTTTTCTATGCAAGTACATACATATCAAATGGGTATGTATGTATGTATGTATGTATGAAGGAGAGAGAGAGAGACCTTGGGGAAGAGAACGAAGGATGCCGAGGCAGAGAGGATTGCGAGAATTGGAGTTAAGGGTGGAGGAATAGAGAAGACAACCCTTGCATGACTTTGCCTTGTTGTTCATCTACTGCTTGAGATTTTCTTCTAGGGTTTGGTTGTTGATTTTAGGGCTTTCTTTATCTCCTCCCTTCTCTTTACCCACCTCATCCTCCTCCTCCATCTCCCTCTCTAGATTGGATCGTTGTTGTTGTTGTTGCCGCGAGTGAATAAACGATAGGGTAGTGGAGCTCAAGAGAGATGGCTTTTTTTCTTTCTTTTTTTTTATTATTTTATTTTAACTTTAAACCTTTTTTTTTTAATATAGTCATGCTATGTGCTTGAATCCCTCTAATAAAAAACGTTGCCGTTTTTCTATTTTTTTTTTTTTCAGAAGCAGAAATCAAGAGGAAGAAGGAGAGGAGAGGAGGAGGAGGAAGGAGGACTGGAGGGGGCCTAATAACAGGGAGGAGGAGGCGGGGCCGGAGGTGGAGACGGCGGCCGGAGCTAGAGGAAGGAGAGGAAGAGGGAGGAAGGAGGAGGAGGAGGAGGAGGAGGAAGGGAAGGGCCGGACTGGAGGGGGCCATAATCACAGGGGGAGAAGGAGGAGGAGGCGGAGGCGGGGTCGGAGGCGGAGACGGCAGCCGGAGCTGGAGCTGGAGCTGCTGCTGCGACGAGCTGGCGGCGAGGCGACGACGGCGGGCCGGAGCTGCGACGACGGCGGGGAGCTGCGACGGGAGGCAAAATCCTCAAGCTACCAAACATTATTCTTTTTAATATAATTGGTATAAATTATTCTTATACAAATAAAATTCTCTTCTACTGATCTATAAGATTCTCTCTAAACGAAAAGAAATTCGAAAGGCCTGGTTGAGTTCTTAATAATAATCACTGGTTTAAATTTTTTGAATTTAATTTTTTAGAAATTTAGTTCATTATTTTTCATATATATTTTTTTAATTTTTAGTGAATATTTTTTAAATTTTAAACAATTTTTTTAAATGCATCTTACTTAGATGTATTTAAAAAATAAAATATTTATAAAAAAAATATTTTAAAAAATTAATAAATATACAAGAATATAAAAATGCATTGAATTTTTATATTTTTTATATTTAGTGAATTTTTTATAATTTTTTTACAAATATTATATTTTTTAAAATGTATTTATGTTAGGTATATCTAAAAATTAAAAAATTAATTAAAATATTAAAAAAATTTAGTGAAAATAAAAAAATTAAAAAATTAAAAATTTTAATTTTCTAAAAAGTGAATATTAAAAAGTGAAGCCAAACAAGCTCCTTTTTTTTTTTTCCTTTTTTTTCTTTTTTGTATAAATGGCAAAACAAATTTCTTTTCTTGATGTTTCAAAAAATTTCATTCCCTTTTTTTTGAGTTACAAAAGTTTACTTTTTAAATCCATATAGATTATTATAAATAAAAAAAGGGTAAATTATAACTTAACTCTCTGTGGTTTATCTAAAAAATACGGAATTCTCCTTTAATTTCATTTGTAACACTTAAATCCCCTATATTTCGTACCAAAGTGTAATTTTGGACCGACATAACAGAAATTGTAAAAAGTCTAAATTACCCTTATTTATTTCTCTAATTTTCTCCTATTACAAATCAGAATATTCTTTAATTTTTCTTTATATTTTTTGTATGCCTCTTCTTCTTCTTCTTCTTCTTCATCCCATGGCAAACCACACACCTCTCATATTATCATCAAATACATATCTCTCTCTCTAGAATTTAGACCCAAAAATACTCATCTCTCCCTCTCTAGAATTTAAATTATACATATATGATATATATAATATATAAATAATACATATGAAAGAATTGATAAGTAGTTTCAATTATACATGTATGATATATATATATATATATATATACATATTAACTGATATATATAATACCTATTTTAACAGTTATCTTGCATAAGGAAAAGCGATCTTATATTACTTCGTATCTCTCTCTCTCTATATATATCCTCCATCAAAACCACGAACCACCCTTTACAAAGTTATATAGATGAAGCAACAGAAGAGGGTAGATGATGAAAAAAAAAGAAATAGATTTGGAGATGTTTCTTTGAAATGTGTGAAGTTAGTTTTCGGACAACTTTCGACATGCCGAAACCACCCATTTTAGGAAGAAGTGAGAAAACGAGGTAGCGTAAGATGAAGTATAAAGTAAGGTGATGAGATTGGTGAAAGAACGAGATAAAATTGTTAAGAATCGAGAAAATTATGGAGTCCAAAAGCGAAGAAATGTCAGAAACGGGAAGAAAAAGTGAGTTTGGTTGGTATGAATCCCATCAATGCTATTTCAAAAATCTAAATATTTACACATATTAATTGTTTGATTTCATGGGTTGGGTTTGTTAGTAATATGAATTATAAGAAGAAAAGTGAGTTTGGATAATTTTTAGAGAGAGAAGTTGTGGTAGTGATTTTGAGTGGTGGTTTTGCATAGAATAAGAAGTTGGTTGTGGTTTTGCATGGAATATGATGGTGGTGATGTTGGTTGGTTGTGATTTTGTATGGAAAGTGATGGTGGTGGTTTTGTATGGAAGGTGATGGTGTTGCATATTTATATAATAAGGAAGAGAGAACCTGTGTGATGGTCCAAGACTGTAACTCATGCTTTGTTGCACTATACCATTCTATGTATATATATGGCAATAAGGGTGTTTTGGTCATTTGTCATATGTTTTTGGGTAGGAAAAACTACTCCACTCACCATTCATGGTCGTGCAACACATGTTCCGTTTAAACAAATAGTTCCATCAAAAATTGCACTTTAGTATGAAGTATAGGGGATTTAAATGTTACAAATAAAACTATAAGATGGCTCCGTATTTTTTAGGCAAATCGCAGGGGGTTAAGTTATAATTTACCCTAAAAAAAATTATAAAATTTTATTTGTTTTTGTTTTTTCTTAATTTTTTTAAAAATATTTAAATTGTTTTATGATTACAAGTTAAAACTATTTAATAAGTTTTTAAAAAGGTAAATTACAAATACACCTCCTAAAATTTGATTAAAATACAAATCGCTCCTTGTGATTTTGAAAATTACATTTCACCCCTGACGTTTCTAAATTTCATAACAAATTACCCATTTTATTATTAAATCATCAAGTCAATTAACAGTTTTTAATGATGTTAAATATATGTTTCAATTAATGATTTATGTAATTTTATTATTGTATAGTAGAATAATTATGAATTTCATTTTTTTAGTTAATTTTGCTAAATAAAAAATACTAACAATGAGGTATTTGTAATTATCCAAACTACAAGGGACAATCTATATTTTAAGCAAATATCAAGGAGTGTATTTGTAATTCACTCTTTAAAAAAGGACGCTCGGGTCAAAAATTTAAATTTCGTTTGTCTAATGGTGTAGGTACTACTTTATTATGGCTCTGTTTGGGAAGCAAGTTTAGATCAAAATAGTTATACAGGATAAAATTGATTATTTTAGTCAAATAAGACAAAATATCACATCTAACTCATAATCATTTTATTTTTTTCACAAAAAGTTAAAAAAATCAAAAAATTTATTCTAAACGAGACTTTTTAGCCTCAAACAATAATAAAAAAAAAACTAAAAACCAAGCCATTACCATTATGTATTTCCACAAATTTATCTGTTGAATCCATTACCAAACCCAAGTCTCTCTCTTCTTTTTGTCTCTAGAAGCCATCGACATCCACTTTCATTCTCTCTCTCTCTGTCCACTTCGTCTCTCTCTCGCTCGCTCATCACTGTTTACGCGCAGCATCACTGACGCATGTCAATGCTGGATTGATCGACACCATGAGAGAGAGTAGAGAGAGAGACCTCTAGGGTTTGCTTCATAATTAGAGACCTTTAGAGGTTTCCTGTTACTAGCAATGAAAATTGCTCTACCACCACTACTGCCTTCGCCGCCAACCGCCACCTCTCTCCCTGCCTTTCTCTTTCCTTCTTCTCTCTCTCCTTCTTTCTCTTCCTCCCCACCACCACTGCAAATACCATTGGAGTCAGAGTCGGTTTCATCGCCGTCGAAGTCACCGCCGATGTAGATCGGCTCAATGGAATGTGTTTTGGTTACCAGCGCTAATCTACAGATCCGTATGCAGGGTGATTTCGATCGTTAGAGGTTTACATCGATTGCAGAAGGTTGGAGATTTATAATAGTATAATCTAATGAAAAAAAAACTCCTTAAATTGTTTCAACAGTACAAGAGGTTTTTATAGCGATGTTTTTATGATTTTGTTGAATTAGTTTTTTTGGCCTTGGATACTGATGAAACTTTGAAATTTTGGAATCACCAGTCTATGTCTATAATCTGGAAAAATTATTATGAAATTTTTTTTAAGTTAATTTTCAGTAAGAAAATTTTGCAGTGTCCTTTTTTTGTTTCGAATCTAGTCCACCATTAGAGTGTGAAAAAAGAACCTTCAGCTTAAGGTAGTGCTATGGTAAGACCATTTTTACTTTTTTTTTTTTTTTTTATCCGTTGAACATTCTACATTTACTATGTTACTGTTTTTTATTTCTTTATTTTACTTTTTTTTCCCTCTGTTTTTACAGATTAATGAGCATGTGCGAATGGACAACTATAGACGTCCCCGAACGCCCCGGGAGGGAAATCCCGTTTCGTTTATTATGGGCTTACTACGGTTCTGGACTCAAAGTCACGGTCCTGTATCTAATCTCGCAGAGTGTAATGCAAGACCGATGAATCATCAAAGTGTCTAAATTCGGCAAATTGTTTTGAAAATAGATTTTTAGAAAGAAGTGCCAAACATAGACTGCTTTGTCAGATACAGAGTCACCACCTAAATATTTTATTTTTGGAGAATTTAGAAAACCCTGACTCGTGCCTAAGGCCACGTGTCCATCATCACCAAAGTTGCCTCGGCTCGAGAACTTGGTTATGATTGGGGAAGGTCATTTCATGAGCACCCTCGCTCGCCCGATCAAAGATCTGCCTCTACTAAGTATGATATCGAGTTTTGAAAATAGTATGTGCTCTTATTCCGGTTTATTAGCCTAGAATTACTATGTGATGCGCACAGCATACAAGTATAGACTGGGTTGCTTGAATTGGAACAAAACATCTCATGTTTATTTTGAAAAATGGTTTGCTACTCGCAAGTAGGCTAAAATGTGGATTTTGCCACTCTCAAGTGGGCTTAGAAAACATGATGATTTGTCATTCTCAAGTGGGCTTAAAACTCGCAATCGATGAATTGTTCCAATCCAAATAACCCAACCTTCA